AAACCATAGAAGAACACTACAGAATGGAAGAAACCCATCTGCCCTTCAAAAACTTGAAAGCCTGTTCATTTATTTAACCTTATCACCTAAACTGGCCATAAAAGGCTCTTGAAACAATAAGATAGATACAAAAACAAATGTCTTATATTAAAATATGATCACAGCAGGACTTAAAAAAAACTGTTTTCTCTCTCTCATATTGTCCAAGGCTGAGCCCAAACATTTCAAAACACTTTTAAGTTGAGTTGTGGTAATTACTGGCTTGGATACAGCCAAGGCTAAATCCAAATAGGGTTGCCAGATATCCATGATGAGCTTGGACAGTATAGAAACCACCTGCTTTGTCCACTGCCCAGGACAATATTCATAATCAAACTTCATGACTGGCAGCTCTGGAAGGGCTCCAGATTGCCTTGTTGTACTTCAGCATGGTTGCTTTGGCCTTTGTGTTCTGCAGGCAGCTGCCCCAGTCCCCACCCCTTCAGCTGACCACCAGTGTACTAATCGGTGGGTCAGCAACCCAGCGCACCTGCGCCTGACGAGCATTCCTCAGACATCTGACCGCCAGTGTGCTTATCAGCAGGGCAAGAGTCTATGCACTGTCTGGTCCTGGACCCTGGGCAGTCCTTGGCTGTCTGGTCACGCTCGCTGGTTGGTGTCCAGGATGTCCAGGAGATTTTCCTCCCAATAGCCTCTTGTGAACAAGAATTGGTCTTTGGAAATCTGGCAACCCTACAAATAACCCCAGCTAGAATCAGTTGGATTCATTAAAAGTACAATCCTTGAATACTAATCCAAATGCGCAAGGAAAAGGGAAGGAAGAGAAGTAAAGCTGATTAAGAATAAAAACAGCTTCAGTAATAAATATAGTTGCATGCATTTGATCATAATCATTTACTTACGGAAGGGGTGCATAACTTGTGCCCCAACAAAATACTGCTGATTGGTAATATATGAATGTTATTTTTCATTTTTGTCAAATTTGGGGAAAATATTAAATTCATAAAGCATGCACATATTAGCTGTACCTATTAATTTAATCTATCTTTAAGTTTAAAATGATATCAAATATACTTTTTTTCCTATTGGCCTCACACACTTCTTTGCCCTAGCCTTTCCTCAAATGTTGACACTTGACCTCCGTCATTCTAAAGCCAAAAATGTTGTGAAGCTTTGTGCACTAACCAGATTATGACAAGTTAGACAACTGGAATGCAAATGGGAGAACTGGACAGGGCCCATTCAAAGGCCCGTGCCATGCCGATATGTGCAGCAAAGCATCTGAAAATATTGCATTGGCAAGCTCACCTCCAGCAAAGCTTTCCTCAGGGTTTATTCAAAATTTGTTGATATAGGGCTGCCTTTATATGAAATTCAGAAATTCTAATTTAAATTGTAATAACAATTGGTCTCTTAGACCTACTTGAAAAAGGTGTATTATGCCTGTTTTTCAACAGCTACCACGGCTGCACATACATTTCTGAGGGAAATATAAAGTAGTGATTATCACTAACACCCTAAATTACTAAGGCCTAGGTTACTCCAGGGTATCCTTTCTTTGCATGATCCCACAACTCAACAAAATTATCAGGAGATATCCATCTTCAGGAATCACTTGTGCTGGCTGGGGAATTCTGGGAGTTGAAGTCCACACATCTTAAAATTGCCAGGTGTGAGAAACATAGGATACTGCAGTGACTGTTCTTGGAAAGCACAGCTTTTTATTGAAACTTATTTATTACCCATTGCTGCTGAATTAATTGTAATGGTTTCCATTTGTGTTCAGTTTAACTCTTATGAGATATTGCCTAAGCGGTGTGATATAAATAAAATAATAAAATAGCAAAATAAATACAGCTAGTATTGTAATAATGGCAGCTAGTAATCTGTTGTGGACCAATAAAGGAGAATTTTGTACTTTGTCTAGTGAATAGTTCAAGCTCATGGATACACAGACGATTTTATGGCAGGAGATAGGAACCAAAAAACTAGGAAACAATTCCTTAAATATAAAGTATTTATAATGGCATAAGAACAAATTTTCACACTCCTAAGCAACTATTGAGAGATTTCTTATAGTGAAAGTAAAACTTCACCTCATATTTTCTTACTCATTAATTAGAAGAGGCAGAAGAAAGATCTTTGTGTTAGTTTAGAGCAATTTAGATGTGTTAATGGAGCAGTGGGAATATTGAGTGTTTTAGCAGAGGAGGTTGGAAAAGTCAGAATAGATTTAGCCAATCAGAATGCAAACTTTGACCAGCTGTTGGCTGCCGTAGTTTATTTACCTATGGGCTGGTATCCAACTTCTCATCTACTAGTTGCTGTGGGGTCATCAGCTCCCTCTGAGGGACATTAGGGATGCTTTCACTTTGACTGCCTGGACTGACCATCTCTTGATCTTTCTCATTCTGCATCTGTGCATAAACATTAATGCCCGGAATCTTCCTAAAACATTAACAGAAACCATCATTGCTATGTGTCTGCTAAGGCTCTCTTTGAATTATGCTTTCACACCTGACAGAAGGATGGAAGGAGAAATAAGGAAAGACTCATACCTTTTGAATTTGTAGATTACAAATACTGCCAGTCCCACAAATACTACAGACAGCAGCATTAGCATGGCTGAACCACTGTGGCTAGGCGTGACATCTATGAGTGGGGCTATAAAAAGTTAGAGAAGTATAAAAAATTAGATGCCAAGTATTTTAATGATACATTCAGTCTTAGGTACAGAATGAAAGTGTAGAATGACAGCTCCTTTATTTTTTTAACAAATTGTCACTGATGTCCTTGAACTTTTCCACCCAAGGTTGTACTTTTATTGAACAGTCTGTACAATTGCCTGTCCTTTGGCCATTAGACAAAGGACCATGCTTCTATAACCCTAAGATCTGATACATAAACTGACAAACTTTTCAAAGTGGAAGTCAATAATGCTTTATTCAAACTGGCTGTGACAGAAACATAGTGATTCATGTGGCTTCAGTTCTCAGATTGTTACCTGATGCAGATTAAGCCCAAGGAATGCTAATATCAAGTGACAAAAGTACTTTTTCACCTGCTTCAGCTGTGATAATTCAGGTCAACCTGTTTCTGGATATTACAACATATGTATTAAATTAACCAAAGGTAATAAATAAAATGAATATACTGCTGCAATGTTGATAGGCACTCATGGGATGTTTTAATTCAGTCTTTGGAACAAAAAGTGTCTCTGTTTTTACCTAGTTGTCACTGTAAGTACATTTGTTCTGGCACTTCTGAATTAAATCATATACATGATTGAAAAAACTTTCAACTTGTTAGAATTAAAACTTGATGTATGAATGTCCTTTTCTATCCTTACATACAGAAGCACTGTACATATATAGCCAATGCCATATGCATGTATAATTTCAGCTACATTTTCAAGACTTTGTTTCTGGATTTAAATAAAAAATGAAGAAATGAAAAGAACTGCTGGCAGTTCTCAAAACCATTAAAAGTCAATTTAAAAAACTGATATAGCAGACAGCCCTTCCTCTGCTGTAAAGGTATCCCTCACCACTAAACTTTGCGAACTACCTCTATTCCCAGCATTTTTTTCTTTTTTTGAATTTTCACTTTTCTAAGACTGCAATACTCTGGTCATTAACTGGGATTAAATCTCAATAAACGCAATAGAACTTAAGTAAATACAGTGGTACCTCTACTTACGAACTCGCCTCGACTTAAGAACCGGATCCGCGGCCATTTTCCGCCAGTTCCACGTGGTCCGCGACCATTTTCCGCCCGTTCCACGTGGTCCACGGCCATTTTCCGCCTATTCCACGTGGTCCACGGCCATTTTTCCGCCCGTTCCACATGGTCCGTGGCCATTTTCCACCCGTTCTAAGTGGTCCGCGGCCATTTTTCTGCCCCTGACGCATGGTCCGTGGATGCCGGAATGGG